GGTCCTCTTCTTCTTGTTGATTCGCCATTCGATAATCAACGTCGGATCGAACTTTATGATTCTAAAATTTTTCGGAACGAAATGGACGCTAAAAGCTAGAGGAAATTCCTTCAGCCCCCACGAATGATTCGTGTCCCTCTCCCTTTTTCCTCCCCAGCTTTCCTCTCCATCCCCCTTTTTTATTGGCACCGTGATGAAGCAAGTGTATCACCTAGATTAGTTGAGTGTGGAGCTGTGGTTATGGACGTTGTGGGAGTAGTGGATGGAAGGGGAAAGCAATAGAGGTTCCCTCATTTTTGGGTAGTGGATAGTTTGTTGGAAATAGGGGGCCTATATAATAATTATAATATATAAATTAATAAATAATAATAATAATAATAATAATAATGATAATAATAATAATAGTAATAATATAATATAATGTTTTTGTAGACCCGGACAAAAACGATATCTACAAATTAAAATAAAATTCTAAATTAAAATGTACAAACAAACTTGATAAGTAATATTATCAAATTTGAAGCAAGAATCAAATAAGATAAATAAACTTCATTGTTGAATGTCAAATCAAGCAGTCATCTATATTCAATGAATCAAGAATGGTTCTTTAAAATAATAAACTCAAATAAATATGTTCGAGTTCTAACAAAAAATGACATTTTGAGGTAATTGTAAAATATTTCTATGCAAAACCTTGTAACAAATAAAAGTTTACAAAAGTTTTAACCTTTGATATAGAAGTGCATTGTTAAACACAATTTCATCAGCAACATACAAAAATTGACAAGATAAAATAAAAAAAAGATGTAATTAATGACATCAGTCCACCTATCTTCTATAACATTTCTTGTGGTTGTGCTTGAAGTTATAGAAGTTCTCTCTTCTAAGACTAGAGTAATCATAGATCCATTTTGAACGTTGAATGACATCCATCTGACAGTAAACACGTTTTCTTGTTGTCTTGAAATACTTGTTCTTTGATCTTGTTGAATGAGAGGATCTTTCCTCTTAAAAGGTAGCTTATGCCTTGAAATAATTGTAGGTTGTTGGATTGGAGTATTAGACTGCTAAGTTGGAGGTTGGATAGTTAGAGATTGGATAGTTGAAGGTTGGTTAGTGGAACCTCTCATTCGACTCTAAGAAAATACTCGAGTTAATAAAACAGAATATATAATATAGTTTGAAAAAAATTATTAAGAATGCATATAAACTATTACCCTCGGGGCAATTCTCCTATTGACTTGTATTTCTCCCTATTAATTTGTCACATTGTAACCTGGTTTGCCACATTTGGTGCAATTCACTTTCCCCCATTTTCTATTTAATCTTGATAAAGTGGTAGTTGGTTCATCAACTTCTTTTCTTCTCGCTTTGGTAGGTCTTCCAGGTGGTCTTCTCAATGATGGAGGCAATATCAGTTGACATTGTTATTAAGGAGTCCATTGGTTTAGTCCTCTAATAGGGCTAATGCAGTGTGAATATACCTGAAGTTGTATGGTCTTGTTGTAGCAGGCATCAACAAAACTCTTTGGCCTCTCATTCATCATTAGCATCACCGCCATAACATGATTACATGGGATGCATGTTAACTCTCATTTCCTAGATGTGCAAGTCAAAGCATGTATGTCCACAACATGTTGATTACTTTGGCCATATTCAATTTGATATTTCGGGCCACCAGCATGTTCAACCTAACATCTACAGTTAATGGAAGAATATTACTATCTAATAATGATAAAATCACAATGGGTAAAGTTCTTTACCTATAAGAAAGTTCAATTATAAGCTCCAAGTTTTTTTAATATTGAGACATAAAGGGCCAACATATTTCTCAGCTGCTGTCTGTTTCTTTGCTATCCTCTGTATTAGATTAGTCTTTGTTGCCTCTATCGTAGTAAGGATAGGCTTCTCTCTTGCTTCCAGTATAAATTTGCACACAAAAAAATATGTTAGTGTCAAACTATTAGTTTGAACATGTCAGTGTTAAATATGTTAGTATCCATGTACCATGTTAAAACATTTATAGAGATTGTTCAGTAACATGTCAGTTTTACTTCTACTTATGAAATGTGACTCAAACCATTGAGCAGGGTCTTTCTTGACCAACCATTTATAAGAAGGGGTTGAGATAGCCTTCATCTTTGTCATTGTATCATTAAAATCTTTAACAGTTATTGATCTTACAGCTTTTCAGAAAAGATCCTTAAGTTGTTTACCCTTGTTACTTTCTATTGACTTAAAATTGGTGAATAAAAGCCTAACACATGTTATGTGTTCAGCATTTGATTTTTTTTTTTTTTTTGCAATGACATCCACAAGTCCATGCAATTAAGTATACAAGTGTTAATAATATCTTAGTTAAAAAAATGTTTTAGAAAAAAATTGTACATTTACCTGTTTGACACGAAAGAAACATGAAATTTTTTGAAATATCCAAATCATTCTTCAAAATATCAAGAAACCAAGTCCACGATTCATAATACTCACTTTCAACACAAGCATATACAGTGGGATAGATACAATAATCAACATCTATTCTAATTGTAAAAATTGACAACCATCAAGACTGATCATTTGTCTGCATCCAGCTTTAAATTCATCTTTGCATGTATGCAAACATACATCCTCTGAAATAAACATTCATTTAGATAGCATATGGTTGTGGTCCCTAGATTGGTTAGCCTAAGCTCAACAAGATATTCATATTTTTGTGTATAGCTGCTTATGACTTCCCATTATTAGTTTAAGGGCAATTTTTTGTACCTATTACACTTAGTCCAAGACAGAGTAGTATTATGGCCCTTACTGACATCTTGCATTAAAGTTGAGATTAAATAAGAATTGTCTGCAAGAAACTTATCGATGTATTCTTTTACCAATCACTTGACAGTTACATGCTTATTCTTATGTTCCCTAGTACATCTATGTTTAGGGACTTAATCGACGATGTTGTGTCTAATAAATTTTCAAATTCATTGGTGAAGCCCATAGTTTTCATGTACACTCTTGTTTACATTCAGTTTTAGGTCTTTCATTATCATTCTTTTTAATTTCACATTATACATAGTCATCTTGCATACTGAGGAATAGTTTTTTTAAAATTTTCTTATCACCAAAAACTAAACCAATTTGAAATGTGGGTCTTCTCATGTTAGCTCTATCATTAAATTATGGAAATCTTGGACCATCTGTGTCTGACTCATGCACACTATGCAATGAGTCAAAATTCCGACTTCCAATATCACTATCAATCTCATTTGTATGTGTTATCAATTCCAATTCCTAAGTCAACTAATATTGTTCTATTGAATTCCATATTTATCACCCAATAACATAAAGAAAAAAACTCAACTTTAACATAAAGAATACACCCAATAACATTGAATAAAAATGACATGTAAAAGAAAAATAAATGAAAGAAACGTCATACCATAGTAAGCTTCTTTTTCCTCTTTCTGTCGTATTCATCTTTAATCCTAATTTTTAGAGTATTAAATCACTCATTTCAATCAAAGCATCCAACTTTAAAAACGAGAAAACCTTAATCCATCCAAAACTTGCAGTCAATTCGTTTAACTCTTTTAATATTATAAAAATTTTAAATTAATAAAATATTAATTAAGCAAATAAAAGGCTTTTTTTTTGAATTCTTAAACCTAAATGTGGCATTTTAAAATGACTTTTAAACTCACCAATGTAGTAAGCAAGTTAACGGGAAAATAGATGACCATTAAAGATTTAACAGAAAAATAATTTGATTCATTAAAGCAACGTCCTATAGTTAAGAGACTATTTATACTCTTTACCCGTAATATTATCAAAAAGTAAAAAAAGGTTATTGTACCATTATAATATCTTTGTCACAGAATATTAATTTGATATGCTTGAGTGATGATATGTCACTGTTTAATCACAATAACTAATATTTGGATTTGAGTTTTTTTTTTATCTTCTTTGACGTTAAACACTAAAATTTTAAATCAAAATTTTAAATTGAATCATTGAATAGTCTTAATGATTAAAGAAAGTGTTATTTTTTGTTTTTTTTAATAATGACAATTGGATTTTATTAATAATGGAAGGAATCAAAATTATATTGTATCAGAATAAAGAGATAAATTTGGAGACAACGGTCATCAAAATACTCAAATAAAAATAAATAATAAACCTAAACATACGAAGAAAATTAAAACCTTCCATTTAGAATGACGACCAATATAAAAAAACTTCCATTTAGAATGAAGACCAATATCAAAATCCAATAACCTTCATACAAACTCATTTTCTCTGTCGAATGAGACGTTTGACGGAGTGATAAAGGAGTGGAGAGCGAACCAAATAATCTAGCAGGCTCTTTTACTACACAATTTTGATTACATCGGCAAATAAACTTTTACCAAAAGAGGGAATCTGACTATACGTGACCACCGACTAACTAATCAAAAAATAAATGTTGTGATGGTTTTTGTGTGAGAACCAAAACGACCATAAATGTATGTGAAAAAACATACCGAAAAATATGAGGATCGTGCTACAAGAGCAGAGGAAACGCGTGCTACAAGAGTAGAGGAAAATCATGTCACAATGACATAGATGCTTATTCAAAATTAAAAAGGTTCAAGAAAAAAAAAATATAAAGACATAATATAAAAAAAATAAGAGAATTAATATTTTCCGACAGTCGACAACCAACATTAAAATTGATACCGCCGCTAACTAAACAAAGATAAAAAAGTAGAAGACGACGCATAAATATTAAAGAAAAATTAAGTTGAGAGAAAACAGATGAGGCTAGGGTTTAAACGACCTTTAATAAATAAATATTAAGAGAGTTTATATTAATTTTCTTTTTTTATTAAAAGAGTTTATATAATTGTCTATGAACTAAAAAATGTTAAGAACACATTTAAATTTAAGACAATATTTTTTTGGGACATAGTCTTTACTTAAATATGTATATGCTTGCTGTATATGTGATTTTGAAGGGCGGTTTTATGGTTAACGCACGCTAAATTAATGGGACCGAAAACTCTCGTCACAAAAAACGTCTAAACTCTATTTTCTCTTCTTCCACTTCCGTTTGCGGAAGAGCAGAAAACCCTAAATCATGCAAACGAGTCAAATCCCAAACCCCGATCCTCTCTACGACATAATCATCTTAGGGGCCTCGGGGTTTACCGGAAAATATGTAGTAAAAGAGGCTTTAAAGTTTCTCAACACCCCATCTTCTCCTCTTAAAACTTTGGCACTTGCTGGTCGTAGCCGTGAAAAGCTTACTAAAACTCTTCAATGGGCGGCTCATCCAAGTTCTCCTCCTCCTGATGTTAGTGTTATCATTGCTGATACCACTGAACCAGCTTCGCTTTCAAGTCTTTGTAATCAAACTAAGCTCTTGCTTAACTGTGTTGGGCCTTATAGGATCCATGGTGAGCCTGTTGTTTCTGCTTGCGCCTCTTCTGGGTAACTTTTTCCAACTTTTTGAATGTCTTTTTTTTAAACATTCTTGTTTCTTTATTTGGGCTTTTTATTTGTTGTTAAATGGTGGAAATCTGGGTTTCTTTAAGGGTCCTTGAGTGGTGACCTGCAATACAGGTATGAAATTGCAGCTTGCTTATGGGGGATTTATTGTTGATAATATCAAGAGCGTGGTGGAAATTGATCATTATACATATATATTTATATGTATTTACCATTAAAATTGATCAGTTAGCCCCTGAAAATAAATTTTGTATTTTTACCTATAGCTTAATTTATGTATTGTAAATTATAAAATACTAGTTTTCCAAACTTCAACCAAAACTATTGAAAAGTCGGATTTTTTCTTCTTCTGCCTTTGTCCGCTTCGGATTAGTCTTTCTTCATCTCCAAATTCACAAACATTCATTGGAGCCATTAGTCTTATAACAGGCCACTCATGACTCAAGTGTCATCCACCACTGTGGAGTGTGGACTGTGGACTAGTCTCTTGAAAGTTACATGTACTCTTATTTTTGTAGTTGAATGTGTTTGTCTTGTTCTTGAATGCTAATTATGCATAAAGTGGTGAGTTTTGGTGCTTTTATGGGATTTAGTTATAAAATCTTTAGTTTTATTTAGTGTAATCTTTTTCTTCTCTTTCTGCTAAGGTATTTGATCACATCATTAACTTATTTGACAATTGAACTCGCTAATTTCTTACTTTGTAGTAGTGGAGAATCCCTATGTAATTCAAGTTATTTACACTGTAGGTGTGATTATTTGGATATAACTGGAGAGCCTGAGTTTATGGAAAAAATAGAGGCCAAATACCATGAAAAGGCTGTGCAGGCAGGTTCCTTGATTGTTTCAGCATGTGGATTTGATTCAATTCCTGCTGAAATGGGTGTTATGTTCAATACAAGGCAGTGGGAGGCTCCTGCTGTGCCAAACCATGTTACTGCATATGTAAGTTTGGAGTCTGATAAAAAAATTGTTGGGAACTTTGCAACATATGAATCAGCAGTTTTGGGTGTGGCAAACATGGGCAAGTTGCAGGAATTGAGGCGTTCTAGACCCAGGAAACCTAGGCCAGTGGTAAGCGAATATTCTGCATTTCTGTTTGTTTGTTTTTTTTACCCCAAGCATTTCATGGTTTGTCTAAGACATTGAGTTGCTGCAGGAAGTTGATGGCTATTGTGATTTTTTCTAGATATTTAAGAATTCAATGGTGCCCAGTTTTGGGTGTGGCAAACATGGGCAAGTTGCAGGAATTGAGGCGTTCTAGACCCAGGAAACCTAGGCCAGTGGTAAGCGAATATCTGCATTTCTGTTTGTTTGTTTTTTTTACCCCAAGCATTTCATGGTTTGTCTAAGACATTGAGTTGCTGCAGGAAGTTGATGGCTATTGTGATTTTTTCTAGATATTTAAGAATTCAATGGTGCCTTCTCTCGATTTAGTTTATGACATCATCTCACTTCAAGCAATTTTCTGTTTCTTTGTTGGAATATTATTCAACATAATGCTCTATTTGGCTGGATTGAAAATTGAGAGGAACAATTAACTCCTGGAGACTACTATCTAGTCATACCAAATTTTAGATTTAAGGAAACCAAAGTCCATTAATCTGTCTTAATGCAACTATTAGTCTTCTACCTTTTAGGTTAATATCTGTAGGAAAGAGAGGTAGATTTAGGGTATATATTTTCTAGATTATAAATCAGTCCCAGGTATATTTTTCTAGCGGGTCATCACTGAGGAGGAAGATGCATCCTGAAAATGTTGTATTTGCACCTGTATATGGTCTGCAAGCAACTCCATTATGGAACACATTCTTACCTTGTTTGCTTTTAGTTTAGATCAAGGAATGATGCTACTAGCACATGTAGTGGTACATATTATAGACTATAATGGGGCAAATGCACTGCCGATGACTAAAACTAGGTGGTGGGAGCTTTGATGGAGAAAATGGAGGTAATGGAACAAATTGATAGTAGCTGTGAAGATGGTTGTGGTAGATATACCACAATATCCCATTTCTTCCTTCACCATTACCCTTTACAATATTCATGATTGGTGGTAATAAAACTAGTGCAAGCTAGCCGCAACCGCAAGACCTAACGATGTTGATATACGGGATTGTACCGACACAAATGTAGACCATGATGATGGTAGTTGATGTGATCTTGGTAATGATGGTGCTTATGTTAAGAGAAAGCCCATCATTACCTTGGAGGCATCTTCTTACTTAGAGCACCGAGATTTATAGTATGAATACTAATTCTGGCAACAGTTATAGACAGGATGAGGTTTCTGGTGAAATTTACTCCAATTTGGAATTGTTGATGGAATGGTAACAATATTGCTGATAATGGTTAGCTGAACTTCCAATCGAGCTGCAATTAAAGGCATAGGTAGGTCGGATTATAATGGTGTTGCCTGTAAATCATGATAGCATCATTTTTGTTCACTGTTTTCAATATTATGGTATATTTTATTTCGCTTATCCTTCTGGAATTGCATGTTTAATATAGGAACCTAGGTTTGCAGCTATTATCCACCTGAGGTTGTGTGTGAGAAAATATGAGTTTCATTGTTATCTGTTGCTAGTATTGATCATGGAATCTCTGTCCCCAAGGCTGATATGATGCTTCCGAGATCAGACTTGTGTGAATCACTCCTGGAACCACAATGAGAGCTGTAACTTTGGAAAAAATATCCTTTTCCAAAAAATTGATTCTTATATTTTGTGAATCACGTAAGGAGGATAGAGGCCGCAGAAATGAGAATGCTTCGATGGACATGTGGTAGGACTCTGTGGGATATGACGACAAACTCTGCTATTAGGATGTCCTTGGGGGTGGTGTCTGTTTCCAAAAAATTGAGGGAGGGAAGACTACGGTGGTTTGGGCATGTCCTTAGGCGACTACCGTCGGATGCGGTCAAGAGGGTAGAGTCGATTACAGTCGACGGTGCCAGAAGGAAAGGACGACCAAAGAGGAAGTGGGAAGACTGCTTGAGATCTGATTTGATGGAGTTAGCCCTTACCGAAGACATGACCTCTCATAGGAAAATATGGAGGAGGCTAAAAACTAGGGTAGTCGAGTAGTGTGGGTCACATCTATAGGGTGTATCATCTCTGTCTTCTTTTAATGCCTTTGTAGTAATTTCCATGACTTCTACTTTTTATACGTTTCTGTTATTGGTATTTATGAAGGATTGGAACTGGGCTTGATATCGTTGACGTTTGTTTATCATTCTCTTCATGTTTCCTCTTTTAAATTTAGCTGGGTCTTATGTTTCTGTCTATATGCAGAGATTCTTTCGCAGGGATTATTTTACAGGGATTAATTCCCATTACAAACGCACATATGATTTTAATGATTGCATATGAATACTGTTTAGCTATGTATTTATTTATACATGCATTGCATTTTATCTATATTTTTAATTTTCTGACTGTCGGAGGTCTTTCACGGAAGCTACTCCCAACCTGGCGTTGGGGGCAGCCTACTACCCTACCTCCCCCTTACCCCATACATATGGGAATTGGGTTTTGTTGTTGTTGTTGTTGTTGTTATATTTTGAATCATGCTATTCCCCAGTTAATTCTTGATTATTCAATGTTGAAAATTTTCAAATCATGATGATTATTACAATGTCTTTTAACAATTGTTTACTTGTATGGTTTCAGATTCCTGGTCCACCACCTCCTAAAGGATCAACTATAGAATACCAGGATCAAATTGGTCTTAGGACTGTAAAGCTACCCTCCGCAGATGCTGTTATTGTTCGAAGGACTCTTGTCACTCTGATGGAGAACCCATGTGGTCTCCCTGGGATTAATGAGAGTCCTGAACATACCCAAAAGAGGGAGGCCTACTGGTCATCAGTGAAGCCAGCTCATTTTGGAGTGAAAATAGCATCTAAAACCCTTTTAGGAATCTATCGGATCATCGGAGTTGGGATTTTCGTTGGTGTATTAAGTAGATTTTCATTCGGGAGGTGGCTTCTCTTAAAGTTTCCCTCATTTTTCAGCTTCGGGTGGTTCCGAAAAATGGGTCCCACGGATGAAGAGGTGAGAAGCGCATCATTTAAAATGTGGTTTGTTGGATACGGTTTCAGTGATAGCAGCCTGGCTTCAGAAAGGAACTCGAAACCTGACATGGAAATCATAACGAGAGTAACGGGACCTGAAATCGGGTATGTGACAACTCCAATAAGTCTAATTCAATGTGCTCTCATAGTTTTGAGTAATCGTGAAAACCTGCCGAAGGGAGGAGTATATACCCCTGGCATCGTCTTTGGTCCAGATCTCCAAGAAGGACTGCAAGAGAATGGAATTTCATTTGATCTTGTTTCCAAGACTGCTCTCCGTGGCCCGACCACTGCTTAAAGTTGGTAAGCTTTTCATAAATTTGATACAATGACTTTGTTGGAAACAACAGTTTGGTTTTGAATTAGTTTCTCTTGGATGAATAAGTTATATGCAACACTAGACTTGCTTTTTTGTGGGGTGTTGGTTACAACTCTTAACATTTAGTATCTCTGAAAGTTTTTCCCTTCGAGTTAAAAGCATGTCTTCTGTTCTTTCCGAGTTTTGTGTCAAATTTTTAAATGCCAACTGAAAGATAAAATGTCATATGATGAAACTTGCCCTATTTATGTGTATGGCTTCAAATATTTGTAGATTTTAAATTTACTTTTTATGAATTTGGATTCAAATAATATTTTAATTTACATAGGATCGGTTAATCGGGTTGGTAATCCGAGCACATTTTGCCCCTTTACCAAACCTTTTTAGGTCCCAACAGCCCAGATAGTTCACCCCAAAGCCCAACACTTGCTACACTATTAAGACCAATGACACGAGGACTACAAGCTGCAATTGTCCAATAACCAGCCTTAATTTCTTCATTCAACTGCTCTTTCTCCCACCCACAATACCCATCAAAGAACCTCAACTCCCCTGCACCTATCACATATCTCTTCACCATATCAGCCGCACACCCCACGCTCTCTTTTGTCCCATAATACAGTCCTTCCATCATTTCTTCGAAAACTCTGCTCGTCCCCGCACCATCACTATCCTTTTTCGGACTCACCAGAAGCAACCCTTCTTCCAATGGCCCACCGAAAAATGTCCCCCCTGATGTCCAGGATCGGTGATCAAATTTCCTTGATCGACATGAGGGATGGTCGATTCAGGATGATCCCGGATGGGCCTATGGGCCCTGTTGACAAGAGTAGGATCACTGTTCGTTCGAATATGTGGACCCGGTCGAGCTTCTCGGTCACGATAAGTAGGCAACCTTTTTCGGGCTCATGGATGGTGTGGACCCATTTGTCACTAACTGAAACCGATGGAGGATGGTCCACTACAGTATCAGGATCCGTACATGATGAAGATTCCTAGGCTTTGATGCTTTTTCTATAGCTACTAGTTTTGCTGTCAATCAGAATTGAGGTCATCCATCGGTGAAGATGAGCCCAGATGGCAGCCTATCATTGGCAAATTATTACATAACTAGGCAAAAACACTTTTTTGCAAATAAACATGTTCAATAATTGAGACCCAAATTCTTTTTAAATATGATTATGAAAATACATAATCATGATAAATAAAACATAATGCAGTCAATATAAGGGAGTTTAAGAACTTGCATGTTATAAAAGATGGGAAAGCAAGTTTCCTAGGGTGGGAGTTCTTAGGAGAGAGGAGAGATCTAGGCTTGATTGAGGGCATAATGTCAAGGCTTTTAGTGAAGGACTTTGATGAGAGAAAGCAAGCTTCCATGTTTCGTTTGGACAGTTAGATCCTAATGGATGAGGGAGGAGATACAAGGGAATTTATAGTTGGAAAGAGACTGAATTTGAACCACAAGCTGATTCCATTCCCGTTCCAGTCAATCCAAGTTGGGGAGAGGCTAAGGGTTAGTGGATATGACTTCACACTTGGCACTAGTTCTAGTAGGCCTCATTTGGTCACTAAAATTTGGACCATCAATCTGTGGGTGTTAGATTACAGAAGCCTTTTTCAGATGACGTGGGATGTCCTGAGCCAGTTATTCAGACGGTTTTTGACGAGCTTTTGTGTTTTGAAGGAGATGAAAAGGTAAGAGGCCAAGAGGGATGTGTTTTCTTATCAAATAACGGATACACTTTTTGACGAGCTTTTGTGTTTTACGAATATAAATGAATACAAAATAAATTATGCCTCATACCCCACCCATTTAGTGGCATTCGGCTCAAAAGGCATGGTATGTACAGGGCTAAATGCTTCCTTCAAACGCTCTCTTCGGCCTTAAAGGTCAATCATGCAACCATGATGGAGCTGGTTCAAATCTCATATTAAACAAAAATACAACCTCATCACCGCATAGTATAAAAAAATTAAATCAATTAAACCTTTAATTCAGTGAAAAAAAACATTGCAAAGAGAATAATGTCCAAAAACAATATCTATTGCTTCATATGCATAGTAATTTCATCCGTAGAGTGTACTTGCCAATAATTAAGAGAGTTATAAGTAGATATTACCTTATAATCACCTTATATTATTTAAAAAGAAAAAACATGAACATGATTCTTAATAAAATTTAGTTGATAGCTTATATGGGTAAAATGACAAATAAAAGTATAATGCATTTAATTGTTAAGTACATATATGTTTTTATAATACTAGTTTTTATTGGGGGTGAAATTATTCAGATAAAATGATTTTGACAAAGATAAGAAAATTAGTTAATATATTTGAAAATTTTGAATATATTTTTTAAATATTATATTTACAAATATTAACCTTGTGAGATTGATACATATTAACTTTGTAGAAAATATCAGCACTAAATTTTTTTACTTTCATGTTTTACTATATTTTCTTAACTAAAATATATTTGAGAATCTACAACTAAAAAAATATAATAATAAAATAAAATTTCAGCTCAAATATATTAGGGTAAAAGCTATATCATTGTATTAGGGATTATGGTAGAGATGTAATTATGAAAAAAATAATGTCAAATATGTAATTTAACATCTTATTTTACAATCAATTCTTTCAAACCGTTAGATTTTCCAGCGTTTTCATTTTTAGCTTATTTTGCATAATAAGTTCTTTCAAAAAAAAAAATGTTTATCAAACACTAAAAATGGAAGGTTTTGACTACTAATCAACTATTTATTCTCAAACAAATTAAAAGCTCTTTAAAAAGTTGTTTGCCAAACACCTCTGAATCCATAGTAAAATATTGAATCTTTTTTTCTTTAAGCATCCACGTCTGATGTAAATCCAACACATAAATCCCATCAAAATAAGATCAAACAAAGTATAACTCAGGTCCAGCAGCAGCGAAAACAATCACTGCATACTCGTTTTCCATACCCTGTTATTTGCTCCGGTTGTTTTACTACGTTTTAGCAGGTAGGGGATTACACTCTTATTTGCTCCTCCTTTAACCTTAAAACAGCTGGTCCCCGGCCATTGTTTCCGAAATCCATCACTTTAAGCAAAGAATGGTTCCCGTTCTCAGTGTCGGCCACCACCTTTTCTGGTTTTGACTGCAGTAAACTGCTTCTGACTGTGTTGTGACTGCTGTTTCTAGCTGATGGAACATCGTGATTATGTTTTCCCTCGTATGTTGTTATGACAGCTTTGGGATCGGTCGACGCCCTTTCCACATGCTTCCTGACATTGCATCCGGCACTCGTGCATTTGTAATAGCTCCTGTGAGAATAGCTTTGATGCATCAGAAGTAATCCAAAAGTCGCAGTATAAGTAAGAACAAATAAATGGATTAAGCAACACACAGACATGTATCTGCAACTAATCTTCTAGATTATCAAATCAATATTAGATAAAGAGTATTTAACTAGCAAAACAGCGAGACAAATATGACACCGTTACTTCAACGATATGAGATGGTTTTAGACTTTGGATTAGCCAGACTTCCGTGGTTCAACTCCAAAACTATAGTCTAGCAAATTGATGGATGATTCGAACAGATAATGAAAACAGTTATTTCTCCTATCTTAAGTTTATCATCTTAAACAAGGTTCAGCCAATACGCACAAACCCAGCGAAATGAAAAATCTAGGTAGCCCAGTCAAGCAGAAAATTGAACCAATATCTACTAATAGCAGACAATCGAGAAGAGTTTTCTTTGATAAATAAGTGCACCCGAGGTTTTTTACCTAGTTACCAAGTCTATGTTACTCGGACTCAAACATGGGTGTGGGGATACAAGTATGTGTCCAGCACGTGTATGCTTAAAATTTTCAAAGTTTCTGTCTGTGGAGCATTTACCCCATCACCCATGTTCAAATACGTGTTAGATATATCACACATCTATAAAACAAAGTGCACTCGAGGTCAATTTTATTGCTCTTGAAGATCAGTTCTAGATATATCACACAGTCAATTTACTTCTGTAAATCACTCAAAAATTGACACTTCTTAAACATCATTAGTATCCGACACATTCGTATCCGAAACATAAATGGACCGTAACACACATATATGTATGCAGGTATACATGTGTGTGTGTGTGTATGTATATATATGGTCCACTGCACCTTGGATGAGAGTTCCCTTTGACCACTTTCTGTCCATATTTGCGCCACCTATAGCCATCATCTAAAAGGTCAACTTCACTTCTTGTTTGCAAAACAATTTTCGGTTCTGTGACCGTCTTTTTTGGCAACATCACCGAGGCTTCTCCTGCAGTATTCCTGCATTCAAAAGCACAACACCCTCAAAATTTATGAAGATTGAAGACATGAATCTGTATGATCAAATTATTTGAAACTTACCGTCTTTTCGGATTTGGTCCATTGTCATTTCTTTCTTCTCTACTCTCTTCATCACATCCTTCCTCACTGTCACTTGATCCAGGTAATTCTGCAGCTTGGATAGATTCACCATTTTCCCCCTGTATTGAATGAGACAGCATAGTTTCACTTAACTTGTTCGAATTTGAAGCTGCACCCTGAGAACCGAATTCAGGATTTGTCTGCGAATTTGCATCTCCATCACAACCACCCTTTGTTTGTTTATTTGGCTGAGGCTTATCATGATTGTGTGCACCTTTGTATATAATTTCCGTTATATGGCCATCAGCAGATCGTTCAACCTTCTTCTTGACGGGGCAATTTGAATGCGTACACTTGTAGTAGCTTCGAGGATATTCACATCCTTTAATAGGCTTCTGCCCGTACTTACGCCAGTTGTAGCCATCTTCAGCAGGCTTATCCACCACAACGGAGACTTTGTTTTTCCTATCAGATCGAGAAGCTTCCGAGTATTCCACTAGAGAACTTTGAGGTTCCGAGGCTGAATGAGGCATCAACTGTGAAGCTTCTTCAGGAGTGAAGGATGGATGACAGATCAATGACTCAGGAAGAGCTGATACCGATAATGCTTGATATTCGGTTTGTGGACGAACATGAGATTGTGCTAGGGCAGCTTGAGCAGTGACCTCTGCCAATGCTTGCTGGTGGGATATTCCGAAAGGACTCTGCAAAGATCATGGAACAAAAGTTCGATCAGCATCATCAGAATAAGAGGACAACATTTCTGACATAAGAACACACATGAGCGACGAAAAATCCCCGTTTACTATTGTTTCACCAGCAACAAGTTTCAATGTATCAAATCTAAGATTCAAAACTAACATTCCCAGCAACACTTTCAACTGCTAAAAATCTCATTATTCTAGACCAAAAGTTTGATTTTGGTGCTGGCCATGAGATTGAATCATAAATGAAGAAAACAAAATACATACATAAGCCACATCAAAATGAGATTCATTAATTAAATGATTAAGATTCATAACTTTTTCATGCTTTATAATCTTAGATTAAGAAATCTTCTATACAAAGCAAAGGCCAAAAGTTATTAAGGAATCGATATAACGGGATAAACTACACCGAAATCCAAGAGACTATAATCACCCAAATCATTTGCCTTAACAAAAACGATATTTTCGTTCCTTGAGAAGCATGAACGAAGTAAACCCGTAATTAAAAAGAGATTGCAAATTAACTCAATTTACCTGAGGAGAAAGACAAAAGAAGCTTGGAGAATTAAGCAAACCAGAAGGGCTTAGCCCAGGAGGCACAGTGAAGAAAGGAGAATCGAAATTCAAAGGTCTGTTCTGCTTAAACCCAGTGCTCTTTTCAGCTCCATCTTTAAAACCCACATCCATAAATGGACCATCCATCAAATTGTAAGGCAGTCTAGCTCCAGGTGAAGCCATTGCTGAAGCTAAAAGCTGAGAAAAAGGTCGCTCTGTTGAGTCGAGGTCGGGAAAAAAAGCTGAAACCAGAGTCATAGGGCCTGGACTCAGCCCTGAAAATAAGCCATCCATGGCTGGTTTCGGCGGTAAAGTTATTGATGGACGTGTTGGAGCTGAAAGCTTTGATCTTGTTCCCTTCTCTTTGTCTGCCATTTTCACCCTGTTTTTCTCTGTTTGTTTTTTTTCCCTTTGGTTTTAGTTTATATATCATTAAACACTAGGGACATTGAAGGAGGGCATGATAAAGGTCATGCTGCCATGTCATGAAGCAATTTTATGTTTTTTTAGACAGAGATTTAACTGACTCCACAATCTAATATTTATAAATCTGTATATATGAAATTTTTTGTTATTGAAGAAATATAATTTTTGACATATCTTGAAAAATGGAAAAAGGTGAGATCAGAATTCACATTTTTTTAATAATCCGAATGAATTATTAAATAATATTTGTTTATATATATATATATATATATATATATATATTTAATTTTTGATAATACATATATATTTTTTGTAGGTGTAATTGTTTGAATATAGAATTTTTTAAAAAATAATAATTTTTTTGGCTAATAAAACCGCTTGATAGGTTCTCAAATTTACACTCTTTTAGATACAAGAATACCAAATATCAACCACTGGCACAGCCAATGTACATTTAAGGGCGTCAATTGACACCCAAAAAGTTTATAAAATGAAACAATTTTGATATAAATAATATATATTTAATATAAAAGTAAAAAAATAACACATCTTTTAGAAATATTTTAGTAACACCTAAATTTTGGACTAATAATTTCAGGTTTACTCGAGAGGTAAATAGACCTTATGAAATTAATAAATTAAGTCGTTGGGCTTAATTGGACTCAATAAGCTATCAAAAGGAGATTTTCGAATTATAAAAAAATAAGAAAGGACCAAGAGTGAAATTATTCCATTTTCAAAAAGATTAATGCTTTTATTTTCTTCATATTCTCATTCTCTTTGTTTCTTCCTCCCTTCTCATTTTCATCCCCTTCTTCCTCTCCAAATTTTCATAACAATAAGGTAAGATCTTGATCTCTTTTTATGCTTCAAATTCGTTCATAATCCCTCCATTAAACTCATATTAATGTTTCAAAGCCTTGGGTTCTCTCTAGTTAAGGAAAAGTGGGGGTTTTCATCCAAATCACCAAGGAAAGGATTATGGCTAAGCAAGGAGCTTCATTTTGGGATCCTAGCATCAAGGTTGTGTATTTCTAATTCTTTGGAGTATTAAGTTTCATTAATTTAAAGATTTTGTTAAGATTGTGGTGATTTAAGCATTTTAGGGTTTATCTTTGATTTCTCAAGCAAATGACGTTTTAGGTGTTATTAATGCATTTTTATGATACCTTAGACCCTAAACAACTTACTAAAGCTTCATAATAAGTTTAGAAACCAAACCAAGTCAATTAGGATGATTTTTGAGTGACTTTTGAGACTAAATAAACTATTTTAGGGTTAAAGTATCGATACTATGATGAACAATACCGATACTGTATGAATTGGGACTAAAATTAGGGATTTCAGAAGGGAATATAGATACTCAGGGTGATAGTATTGATATTGAGGCCCCTATTTTGCAATAGAATTCATTTTTGGTGTAATACCCCAAATATCAGGTCATTAACTTTATTGAAAAGATTTAAAATTGGAGGATTAATTTGAATAAACGATAAAGGATAAGAAATGATTTAGAAATAGTGTTTAAGACCAATTAGTAACAATGGATGAATAAAGAGGGCATTTTGGTCCTTTAAGGGGAAATGAATTTAAAATTCATTTTATTAGGGAATTAAGAAAGGAAAAAAGGGAAAGTTAAAACTAAGCTAAGTCATCTCTTTTTTCTTCTTCTCGTGTTCACGTGCTCTCTCATAGCCAAAATAAGTTTTCTTTTAGTTAGTTTATTCTTTAGTTTATGGACAAGTTTTGAAACCTTAAGTTATATAGAGGCTTAAGGAAAGTTCAAGGATGATTAAAACTAAGTGATTAGTAAAATATTTGAGATTGAAGGAAATGGGTTTTTGAATGATATGTTGGAATATGAGTTTTTATTGATGTTTACTAGTATATTTGACTTGTCAAAGAAGTAAATAAGAGATTAGAAGCCTTGGATGTGATTAAAAACATGTTAAAAAAAGTGGTATGATTCTTGGTTTGAGATGTTCTTTGGAGATTTTAGATGTTATAAGGAGCTAAATGAAGGAAAGTTAGTTGGGAATTTGACCAAATTTGGGTAAAAATTGAGCTGAAAAATAAAAAATCTAGGTAAGGGTATCGATACTGGAAGAACAATACCGATACTATAGGTTTAAATTTGGAGAAATCAAATGAACAATATCGATATTGATACAATTAGTATTGATACTGATGTGGGTATCGATACTATGAAGAAGGTACCGATACCATGGATTCCAGAATGCAAAAATGGTATCGATACTGCAAAGGAGTGTCGGTACCATAGTATAGAAGTATCAATACCATAGTAGAGGTACATATACTATTGAGTCTGGAAAATTAAAATAGGATGAATTTTGATAGAAATTGAATATATAATAGTACTTTTAATTATTATTAAAAGTATACATGTTAGAGAGTATACTAACATTGGTATGGTATGTGTACGTAATGGATGCTTGTGTAGATCGTAACCAAGCTCCCGAGTCAAGCAAGAAAAAGGGCAAAGATAAAGTTGCCGAATAGCGGACATCCTTAAAGCATACTAACGAGGAATACCAGGTGAGTGCATTTATTATGTACATTAAGAGTTATAAATGTATGTTGTTAAAGGCATATGTTGCATTTGTATATCAGTACTATGTGTACTATAGGCACTAAGTGTGCAACCCACGAAATTCATCATATGTTGATGAACGACTATATAGGCACTAAGTTTGTAACCCACGAAATTCATAATATATTTATGAACGACCATATAGGCACTAAGTGTGTAACCCACAGAATTCATCATATGTTGATGAACAACCATATAGGCACTAAGTGTACAACCCACATAATTCATAATGTGTTTATGAATGACCGTATAGGCAGTAAGTGTGAAACCCACAGAAATCATCATATGTTAATGAACGACCGTATCGACACTAAATGTGCAACCCACAGAATTCATAATATGTTTATGAATGACCGTATAGTCACTACATATGCATCTCAAAGAAATTATAATGATTTGAAAATAATGAATTTGAATTTGATTGATATGATATAATGATGTATTGATCTCACCTCACTAGTATTCTTGCCTCACTAAGTAAATACTTAACGTGTTTATTTCACGCATAGGTTTTAGCAAGCAGAGTAAGGAGTGCATCTGACATCACAAATCGAGAGTCGCCTCATCAGTAATTATACAACAACTATGTATATTTTATTATATTATTAGTCAACATGTAATATAATTATGATAATGCCCTAAAATGTATTTGACTTATAATGATGTAGAAATGATAAAATGTTTGAACAGTAAATTTTTGTTTATATACTAAAGTTTAATGAATGTTTTATTAGTATTAAATTAAAATGTTTTATGAATAGAAACAAAATTTTACGGGTTTTCAAAGGAGGAAATGCTTTAAAAGTGATGTGACATCTGTATCTCATGTATGGAAAGGTATACGGGAAATAGGTTTTACATTTATTGGTATCAGATCTACAGGTTTAGTCGATTATCAACCGAAATTGAGTGTATTTTAATGTAAAAAGGGTTTACATGACACTAAGATGTCAAGGTTATTGATAGGGTAAAGTTAGAATATGATCAATGTCTCTCCTTACTAACTTAAGTATTATCCTTATACATGTTATATCATATGTCGGATTCTACGAATTCGAGAAGAGTGGCTGAACGAGAGAATAGAGATGGATCGGGTAGTGAAAGCTATGAAGAGAATAGTGAGCATCCGATTCCATCCGAGAATGCCAGAGCACCGACACATCAGGGTATGCCCGTGCTAGAGTTTGGAGCTTTTATGCAAGCTTTTGATGCCATATTGACACAATTTCAACCTCCTCCGCCTCCCCATGCTTCTTCAGCATCGCGAATGTTAATCTCAAAAGAGTTAAGAAGTTTGGGAGCTCATGAGTTCCAGGGAGAAGAGGGTGAATGTAAGATGGACGCTGATTTATGGTTAAACAATGTTATGGTGATGCTGGAAAGTCTACAATGCTCAGATTCTGAAAAACTAGGCGTAATTGTATCGTTACTCCGAGGATCAACTCAGGCGTGGTGGTAAAATACTACAATGTATGCATCACCTGAACAAGTGACCTGGAAATTCTTTCAAGATGAGTTTAAGAACAAGTACATCGAGAAGCAGTTTATGAGATCAATGCTGCTGAAGTTTCTTAATATGAAATAAGGCAATTGACCAGTGGCTGAGTATAAGGCTGAATACAACAAGCTTAGTCGTTATGCTATTAAGGTAGTTCCTAATGATAAAGCCCGACGTGATTGGTTCATTAAGGGTCTGAGGCCTAAGTTGAAAGAGATTACGTTAACTTTAAACTTGTCTAGCCTGTAAGAAGTTATAAACCAAGCTAAGACTATTGAAAGAGCTCAAGAGGAGACTCTAGTAGCAAAGTAGAATATGCAGACGAGAAAAAGAGTTGGAATGTCTTCAACTTCCCATCATGCTAAGAGAGGCAAGGGCTCGAGTTTCCGATATACTAACAGAGATAGTTCTGCTGCAGCTTCTCAGAAAAATAAACAATCACATTATGTTGCTGGTAGCTCGGGTAGAGTATATAGAGAAAGAACTAATCCATGTCATACATGTGCCAGATTTCATCGGGGAGTGTGTAAATTTCTCTCCGGCGCTTGTTTTTATTGTGGAGAAATGAGTCACTATGCTCAAAATTGTCCATAGAGATCTAGAGATAGATTAGTACAAATTAAGAGATCAGTAGCAACACCTAGTAGAAGCAGAGAAAGAGGAAGATCCGATGGTCAATTTAAGTCTAGCCAACGACAAGAGACTCGGGGAGTGGCCTGAATTTATAACATTAAGACCAATGAGGATCGGGATGACTCGGAGATCATAACAGGTACATTCTATCTTTTTATGAGCCTGTATTTGTTTTAGTTGACCCTGGTTCTACACACTCTTATATTAGTACAAAGTTGATTAGAGTTATAGGA